CTATTCTATTCTATTCTATTCTATTCTATTCTATTCTATTCTATTCTTGTATGCTTCTCTAGAAGAGGCAGATGCTTTGAGTCTACTATGACAATAACAGCCCTACTTACTTGGTGATTTGATACCAATGGTAGCCTTGTTGGTCAAAAACTCCTCTCTTCTTTTTTCTCTGATTTGAACTGAGGCAATTTCCTAGTCAGGATCGAGAGAGACAACTTTCAGGGATGGGATGAGGCTTCCTTATGATAAGAAACCTGCTTTGTAGATGTGCCTCTTGATTTCCAAGGGCCTGTGCGCACAAGAAGAATTTAGTTTCCCTCAGGAGCCAATATGTCTTCTGCTTTCTTGATCTATTTTAAACGAAGCCGGCTTTTTCAGTGCTGCTTCTCCCAGTGCTCCTGGATGCTCCTGGAATCTGCTTAGCGTTGCCTTGGCAACTGATGCGGCCTACCATCCCAGGACAACTTTTCCAGGGGTTGTGGTTGCTCCAGCAACTGATCTGGGAGAGAATTGTGGGGTTGAGGCGCTCAGCTGGAGGTCATCAACAAGCTTTTCCTCCATTGTAGCCTTCTTCAGGCTAACGCAAATAAGTGCTCTAGTCAACAGTGTACATTCCATATATGTGTTACACTAACATACCCATTACACTTGTCATTTTTTTTTTATTTTGGGACTTGAGTGGGGAGCGCTAATCAGAAATGTACCAATGTAACATCCCTGAAAAAGAGGGAGGAATAGTTGATGTTGTAGGCCCTGGGGATGTTGAATGTCTGTATCGAAAGATCAGGAGATCTTTCAGAGATCTTGAAGGAATAAACTCCTCTTTATCTCTTGATGGAAACTCATTATCTATGAACAGGCCCACTGGGATGCTAATGTTTGTCCATGTGTTGTCTAGTCTTATCTGGATTAATTGGCAAATCCTCTCTATATTATAAATTCTCTTTATCACAAAGTGAACTACTGCAAAATGCATAATTAGATATGCAGGGTAGTTTTCTTCATATCTCCATTGATCAAACACTTGAAAATATATAATTGAATAAAGACATGTTGGAGAGCGATTTGCTTGTGTTAAGGAGCGGTGTAACTTAATTGTACATCTTACAAAAACAATCTGAGGTGGTTAGCCTCGGCTTGGCTTTGAAAACTGCAATTTTATTTTTTTTAGATTTTGTTTTGAGTACAGAAGTTATCACACACGTATAAGTGAGGGCTCATGAGTTCCTTTGGCAGATATAAAACTACTACAGTTTGTTTTGTCTTTTAATGATTCCGTAATCCCTTATATCGGGGTGGAGTTGAGGCAACTGAATGGAGCTGAGTGTTTACTGGCCGGATGCCCTTCCTGTCACCAATGCGGAATTTGCATCAGATAATTACTCAATGTGCCCAGAGAGAAAAATATCTGCCACTACCAAGGATCGAGCTCACAGCCTCCTATGTTATTTAACACCTCATTTCTAGATATGTCACATCCACTGTCCTGCGGCCAAATCGATATTTGATCAGATTGTTTTTATTTTTTTCAAATTACGGACTGCAGAATGATGCTTCTTGCAAAACACACAAAAAACTTCGAGTAGCAGTTGTAAATAATTCTGGAGGATTACTTTTTGGCAATTTCACATACACCCGATGTATACGAGTCCTTTAATAGTAATGAAATAGAGTTTTTGTCTTGGAAATGTCATCATCTGTTTGAAATTACCAGATTATAATGGCCACTGGTAATCTAATTATCCGGATCATTTGTACACTTTGTCAATAATAACTGGCTATTCCAGTTATTGCGACACATGTCCTGTTTAGCATTAATTTTCTGCTCCGTCCACAGGGTTGCTCGTGGTCTGTCATCTTAGTGGATCTTGACGCTCATAACCGGAACAGGCAAACCCTTTGCTCATTGCTCCCTCGCGAATCACGATCTCACGTAAGCAAAATGTTAAGTATTGTTGGAAGAAATCTGGGTTCGGTTCCAAGTGGGGAGAAAGACGCTGGAAACATGGAGGCTGTTTGGAAAGATGGCTTAATGGTGGACAGGATCCCATGCCTGGGAACTCCTGGGCGACGAAAAAGGGAAGAGATGCTGAGAATCCCTGGGTTTTATACCCTCTGTTGGGATTTGAACTCCCTAGGGGCACAGGAAGAGTATCCTGATTGGTTGTTGTCAGAGGTCACAGATAGCTTTGTAGGTTGTCTGTGTGCTAAGTTTGGTTGAAACTTGGTGGGTGGTGCAATGAAGGGCAATTGAATGGCTCTGCCTGAAGGATGTAGATCTTTGTTATGTAGAATAGACTGGACCAGCCTTTAATGGCCCATTAACAAAGGGCTGGGGGCTGAGCTCCTGCCTCTCAGAGTTTCTACTTCTCTTTTAGGGGAAATATTCTGCCTTTTTAGTATATCCCAAAATATTTCATTTTTTTAGGAGAGGGGTGGGTTTTAACTTCCAACAGCATGTTCACGTCTAACATAGAGGGATACATTTTACTATCCATTTTAATAAGGTTTATCGTTAGACAGAATTAGAATCTGTGTTTTTTCCCCAGAAAGAACTGCGTAAAAGAGATCTTCCTTATGGGAGACTCATCTTTTATAAGTGTTATAAGAAGGAAAATAACGTTGTTTTTTTTTAAGTTTTCCAATCGTAATCATTTGTTATTAAGTAATATATAGGTGGATCCATCCGACTTCCAGAATGTCTGATGCATTTGCAATAGAGCTTCAGATTGGAACATATCACCATCCCTAGTGCATGAAAAAGACACGTCCGCTCCCCATTTATTTATCTTCATTGTGCATTCAATTTCCATTTCTATTTTGAAAATTCAGGAACTCTTCTAGGTTAGAAATATGTAATTAGTTATTTGGGGGGCTAATAGTTATACTTGGATTCGGGGATGATATTTTCTAACAGGTTAAGAGTTGCTGAAAGCCATTTCAGTATTAGATACTTCTCATTAGCATAACAATACATTCCATTTCATTATCTTAAAATGGGCAGGACTGGCATGCGGCTTTGGACAATTCCAGCAAACAATTCGCAATGCTTCCTTCAAGGAAAAATACTTCACTTTCAAATCCTAGATGCCATAAATAAATAAATATAAATATGAATTTCTTCAGGTTTAAAGATTGGGACTATCCTATGGGTCAAAATCCAATACATTTAATCTCACAATTTCCTTAATTTTTATTGCGACCATAAATATTTTCATGGAACCAACAAAGGGACAAAATTTATTCTCTGTATTGTCTCCCCTGTTTTAAGAACTTTTTATCTTTTCCAGGGATTTGAATAGTCATTTAATTTATAAGCTTACTTGGTTTTTTTTTTTTTGCAGTACATAATATAAAATAGCATCATCCTGTTCCTTTCTGGAGTAACCAACATTATGCAAAGCATAAAAAGTACAAAAAGTGATGAACACACACACAAAAAAATCAAAAGCAAGAGATGAGAGAGAAAAACATAAGACTGCTTTTGCTAATAACATAATCAGTTTTTGTTTGCAAACTTGCCTTGCAAAATTTCCCTTAGAGAGATTGCCGATAATATAAAAAGAAAATACAAAACTCCCAACCCTTGATTATGTATTTAGAAAATCTCTTCACTCTCTCAGTAAGTGACTAAACATTGCTTTGTTTTATTATAATATTTTAATATTTTAGAGCTCTAATCACTGTAAACATTCCAATGTATGTATATGCTTCTTTATTTAAACCCTTGTGGTTTCAATTTTGATGACTCTGTAGTTTGTTGCATAGATAAAGCAATGAAAGTTGATCTCATTGGATATGGAATGGATCTCCACTTTGCATGTATGTAGACTTCAGAGATCAATGAAGCACCTTGTGTTGTTTCTCTGAAGTTTATAATTCCTTCCTTCCTTCCTTCCTTCCTTCCTTCCTTCCTTCCTTCCTTC